TTTCTATTTCACTAACTGCTTATGAAGTGTCCCAGAGGTGTGTTGTGTTGTATTGTCCTTTTCATTGAATTCTAGGAATTCTCTTATTTCTTTCTTAATTTCTCCTTTGACCCACTCGTTGTTTAGCAGTGTGTTGTTCAATTGCCATGAGTTTGTGTAGTGACTAGGGCTTTGTCCAGTTTTGATTTTGAGCTTTATTACATTGTAGTCTTATAGATTGTGTGGGATTATTTCAAATTTTTTTTTGTATTTGTGGAGGTTTGTTTTGTGGCCCAGTATGTGATCAATTTTTGAAAAAGTTCCATGGGGTGCTGATTAGAAAGTGTATTCTTTGGTGCTTGGGTAGAATATTCAAAAGATGTCTGTTAGGTCCATTTGATGTATAGTATCATTAAATCAGATGTCTCTTTGTTTATTCTCTGTCCAGTTGACCTGTCTAATGGAGACAGTGGGATATTGAAGTCTATTTGTTTTTATGAACTTGGGCGCACCAGAGTTTGGTGAATATATGTTCATGATTGTAATACCTTCTTGAATTATTGTTCCTCTGATCAGAATGAAGTGACCCTCCTTATCTCTTCTGATTAGTTTTACTTTGAAGTCTATTTTCTCAGATATTAGAATTGCAACCCCTGCTTGGTTCTTAGTGCCATCTGCTTGGAATGTTCTTTTTCATCCTTTTACCTTAAGGTAGTGCTTGTGCTTGAGGTGATATGGGTTTTTTGCAGAGAGCAAAGAGATGGATTTTGTTTCTTAATCTATTCAATTAGCCTGTGTCTTTTGACTGGGGAGTTCAGTCCATTGATATTTAAGATTATTGTTGATAGACTTGTATTGGTTGCTGTCATTTTGGTTTCTGTTTTTGTTCTCTTCTAGTTTTGTGTTTGCTAGATAATACCTTTATTTTCTTTCATTGCCCCTGTGGTATAGTTGTTTCTCTCTCTGCTCTCTGTATTGCTTCAAGTATTCTTTGAAGGGCTGGTTTTGTGGATATGTATTCTTTCATGCTTTTCGTGACATGGAAGATTTTTCTTTCCCTCTCAACTATAATAGACATTTTTGCTGGGTAAAGTAGTCTGCGCTGGCATCAGTTGTCACGTAGAACTGGAAATACCTTGGTCCAGACTCTTCTGGCTTTCATAATCTGCATTTATAAGTCATCTGTAATTCTGATGGGTGTTCCTTTGTATGTGACTTGTTTTTCTTTTGCTGCTTTCAGCATTCTCTCTTTGTTCTGTACATTTAGTGTTTTTACTATGATATGTTGTGGGGAGTTTCTTTTCTGATCCTGTCTATTTGGTGTTCTATGTGCTTCCTGTATTTGTATGGGGATGTCTTTCCTTAATTTCGGGAAATTCTCTTCTACAATCCTGTTTAAGATCTGGTCAGCACCATTAATCTGAAATTCTCCTTCCTCTATTCCTATGATCTGTAGATTTGGTATTTTCATGGTGTCCCACATCTCTTGCACATTCCATTCCTGTGTTTTTAAGATTTTTTCATAATCTTTGCTTAAGTGGTCCAATTCTTCAAGTTTATCCCCCAATGTTGATATTCTGTTTTCCATTTCATTCATTCTAGCAGTGAGGCTTTCCCCTGTTGTTTCAAGTTGCCTTATTGAGTTTTACACTTCCTTCTTCATTTCTGCCTCAGTTTTCTTCAATATTTCCATGTCTTTTGTGAATTCATTCAGACGTTTATCCGTATCTTCTTTTAGTTCTTTGATTTGTTTGTTCATGTTCTTTAAATGCGTTGAATTCCTTGATCATGTTTATGATTGTTCTTTTAAATTCAGTATCCTGGGTTATCTCTAGAGGGTTCTCCTTGTAGAACTCTTCTACAGGATTGGTGGAGTTTGGTGGGGACATAGTGTGTTGGCTCTCCATTTTATTATTCTTTCGTTGTGATTTTGGCATATGAATTTCTTTTGTGGTTTGTGATTCTCATATGAGAATTAAGTTGAAGTATGCTTCTGTTTGTATTATCTGGGTACCTAGATCGTTTCTTTGTTGGTTATATAAAGCTGTTTGGTACGGGGTTCAGATTCTCTCAGGTTTAATTTGGAGGGAACTGATGACTTCAGATCAGCTATTCAGGAGTACTCAGAGAAGCCCAATTCAGGTTCCAGTCAGGGACTTAGGCTTTCTTCACCACGTGGAGGCAGGATGGGGCGTTGTTAGGCAGTCCACCCTCTCAGGTTGTCTGCTAGGACCTCAGCCTTCCCCTACCAAAGCCAGATCTGCCCTGGGGCCTTGGGAGGGGCCTAACAAAATCCTAGGTAGGGGGATGGGTATGGCACAATTAGGGGAAGCTCACCACCACATGGAGGCAGAATCCAGAGGCTCTCAGGCATTCCCCTGCATTATCATGCCCTCTGCCAGAGGGAAGCCAGAGGGAGGCCAGAGGGAGGCCAGAGGGAGGCCAGAACTTGGCTCTCTCTGGCAGTCTGCTGAGACCAGAGCTGCTACATTGATGGAGGTTGAAACCCACCCTCTCATGCTGTCTGCTAGGATCTCAGCCTTAGCCTACCAAATCCAGATCCGCCCTGGGGCTTTGGGAGGGACCTCTCGAAGTTCCAGGTAGGGGGATGGGTATGGCACAATTAGGGGAAGCTCAACACCAAGTGGAGGCAGGATCCAGGGGCTCTCAGGCAGTCCCCTGCATTCTCAGGCCCTCTTCCTGAGGGAGGCCAGAAGGCGGCCAGAACTAGACACTCTCTAGTGGTCTGCTGAGATCAGAGCCACTACACTGATGGAGGTTGGAACCTGTTTATGAGTGTTTTCCCTGCGTGTAGTTACACCCATGTCATGCAATGCCCATGGAGACCAGAAGAGGGTGTTGGATCCCCTGGAACTGGAGTTACATACAGTTGTGAGCTGCTATGTGGGTGCTGGAAACTGACTTGTTCCTCTACAAGAACAGCCAATACTCTTAACTGCTGAGCCATCTCCCCAGCCCCTATTTTTTAAAACAGATTTTATTTTTTAACTATGTGCATATGTGTATCTCTGTGAACACAAGTGCAGGTGCCTGTGGAGGTCAGAGTGGGATCCTCCTGGAGCTGGACTTACAGGTAGTTGTCAGTCACCTGATGTGGGTGTTGATAACCAAATTCAGGTCATCTGCAAGAGCAGTATGTGCTCTTCTTAACTGCTGAGCCATCTCTGGAGCCTATTAATAATATTAATAATAATAATAATAATAATAATAATAATTATTATTATTATTATTTTCGAGGCAGGCTTTTGGTATGTTGCTCAGGCTGGCCTGGAAATTACTGTGTATATCCCAGACTGACCTCAGACTCATCATTCTCCTGCTTTTGCCTCTTGAGTGGTGGGATTACCAGTATTTGCCACCATGCTTGACTTCTTTTATGTGTTTAAATGTTTTCACATTTATTTATTGTGTATGAATGTGTGAACACATATATGCCATGGTGCATGTGTGGTAGGTCAGGAGGACAACCTGCAGGAGTTGGTTCTTTCTTTCCACCATGTGGGTTCTGGGGGTTGAACTCAGTTTGTCAGGCTTGACATCAGGAGCCCTTTCCCCATGAGCCATCTCTGTGACCCCCTTTTCATACTTTTAACTACATTTTTTGTGATGTTAGGGTTTGGAATGACCTTACACATCATAAGATTATTCTTTTATTTGTACAATCTTATTGAGTCCATGTGATAATTTGATGCATGTATATAATGGGTAGTGTTTATCAGTGGTTGAATGGATAAAGAAATGTGTATATACATAATGGAATATTATTCGGTCATAAAAAGAATTTTTTGTTTGCAAAACAACAAGAGGTTTTATTTAAAGAGATGGTATCAGGGATCGGAGAGATGGCCCAGGGATTAAGAACAATGGCTACTCTTGTAGAGGACCTGGGTTTGGTTCCCAGCACTCACATGGGGGCTAACAACCATCTGTAACTCCAGTTCCAGGGGAGCTGACACCCTTTTCTGGCCTCCACAGGCACTGCACAACATGGGTGCATGTCTGTACACATAGGCAAAACACTCATACATATAAAATAAAAATAAATAAAAAAATTAAAAAGAGATAATACAAGATATACTGCAAGGGAGCAATGGTCTACTTAAGCTAGAGTGTCCAAGAGCCATAAAAGGAGCATATCCTGTCATTTGCAGCAAAATGGATGGAATTGGAAGACATTGTGTTAAGCAAAGTAAGTCAGATGTAGAAATTTTATATATTCTCTCATATGTGAATGTTATAAAAATTGATTGAAAATATAGTAATGATTACTAGAGGTGGGAAGGGGTGGAGAGAAGAGGGCATAGTGACAGATTAATAGGGGGTACCCAAACACGATTAGATGGAAATCATTCTTTAAATTTTTTTTGCAGTTCCCGGAGTGAAATCCAGAGCCTTGCACATGCTAAGGCAAGCACTTAACCTCTACACTACATACATCCCAGCCCAGAAATAATATTCTTATAAACAAACAAGGAATTAAAATTCTGTTTCCCTAGAGAAGTGCAGTTGGATAACCCTAAGTAGAATTTGGAACTGCCTCTTGCAAGAGCCCAGTACCTCTGTCCTAGTGTCTAGCATCTAGCATCTCTTGCTTACATGAGCTGTTTGAGTGCGTGACTTCTTCATTTTCATTTCCCCAGAAATCCATGTAGGTCCAGCACATAGTTTTAACTTAGTAGTCTAGTGATCTTTGGTTTTGTTTGAGACAAGGTTTCATGTAGCTCGGGCTGACCTATGTAGCCAGATAGTCCTGATCTTCTTATTTATTTCCACCTCTCAAGTGCTGGGCACCACTAGTAGTCTAATAATTAGTAAATTAAGACAGTGCCAGGGCTTTTGAGGGTTTCCTCCCTAAAGTATAGTATCAAGTAAGACATGGAACCAGGAATCCAGTGTGGCTCTTTATACTGGGCTCTCAATAGGGATTCATTGAGAAGATTAGCGTCCACATATTTTTTTCCTATGTGTTCTACTTCGATCACTACAGAGTGTCATTACAGGGATCTGTGTCATTTGAGGATGTGGCTGTGGATTTCACCCGACAGGAGTGGCACAGACTGGACCCTGCCCAAAGGACCATGCACAAGGATGTGATGCTGGAGACCTACAGCCACCTGGCATCTGTGGGTGAGGATAAGAATCTGGGTAACTCCTTGGAGCATATTCTTACTGTCATGTATGCCACCACAGCAGGGTTTAGTGATATTTTAGTTTCAGATTCTAAGGGTTACAGCTGACGATCAGATTGAGGCTCTAGGAAGAAGGTGTTTTCGCTTTCCCAATAAAAAGTTTAAATGGGCCCCTTCTTTGTGCAGCTCATGAAGATGCACCCTCCTTCAGATGCCCTAAAGCTCAGACATCTTGGCCCATGTCCTGTGCCATTTCTCATTAACAGGCCTCTGCGTGGCCAAACCAGACATGATCTTCAAGTTAGAGCGAGGAGAAGAGCTCTGGATATTGGAAGAGGAATCCTCAGGCCATGGTTACTCAAGTGAGTGAGCATGAAGTATACATATGGAATATATGGGAAGTAAGACCCCAGGAATCCAGGCAAAGGCATCCTTATGCAATATTTTCCTGGAATCTCTGTAGCAGCTTGAGATCTTTGAAAATAAGAAGAGAAGGTCTATGCACTTCAGCTACTAAATCATATACCCCAGTGTTATGGTCACATTTGAATGTGCCTGTATTTTGATGCTCGTAATGTTATTGACTGCTCTTACTCATTTCTACCTCATGTTAGTCATGTATTCTTATTTTTCTCCATTGTCTTGGCTGTCTTCTTATGTCAGGCATTCACTCATATATAAACTTAGTCATCTACCAAACCTTAAAGGAGTATTAAATATAGGCTGGTCATATTCCAGGTGTTGGGATCCAGCATTGAATAAAATAATATCTCTGTTCTCTTGGCTCTTGCAATCAAGTGAGGGAAAGCGTCCACAAACAAACAAATATATATTATTTTTGGTGGTGAAAAAAAAATCAGTGCAAGTTAAGAAAGGCAGCCACATGTGTGTTCTTTTAGGGAATGTGGCGAGAGAAAGCTTTTTGGTGAGGTCAATATGAATGGATAAACATCAGTGAAGTGAGAGAGACAGAGCCACACATATTTGGGCTATTTTGGGCAGAGGACTGTGAGTGCTGAGCCTCATCTGAGAAACATATCCTGGGAGAAGTGAAGAGCCCTGTGTGAATTAGAATGGGGCCAAATTCTAGGTAAAGATTTAATTTGGGGGGATTTTCTGAGACAGGGTCTCAATATATAGTCCAAATTGGCCTGAAACTCATGATCCTCCTGCTTTAGCCTCTCAATTACTGGGATTACCAGTGTGTTTCACTGTGTCTGGCTAAGTTAAGAATTTTAATCTTGAGGCTAGAGAGATGGCTTAGCAGTTAAGAACACTTGCTGTTCTTCCAGAGGATCTGGGTTTGATTTCCAGCACCCACATGGCAGCTAGCAACTGTCTGTAACTCCAGTTTCAGGGATCTGACACCCTCTTCTGTCCTCTGAGGTCATTGCACACACCATGGTGCACTAACATACATGAAGACAAAAAACACTCATATGTATAAGATAAAAATAATAAAATATTTAAAAATTTTAATCTATTATGATAGAGGAAGCCATTTGGGGATCTTACTTGAAAGAATGACATACTTTAATTTGTTTTTAAAGGATCGCTGTCTCTGCTACGTGGTAGCAGTTCAGTTGGAGGTAATGCCCTCATGCTGGAGAACAACCTTTTTCAGCATCAGAAGATTCAAACATTGAATCAAAGTATCAATTATAACAGATGTGGGGAAGATTTCCATGAAGAAACAGGCTTTGATCAACATAAAAGAACTCACACAGGAGATAAAAACTTTGAATGTCATGAATGTGGGAAAGCATATTGCAGGAAATCCAACCTTGTTGACCACCTGAGAATACACACAGGGGAGAGGCCCTATGAATGTGGTGAATGTGTGAAGACCTTCAGTGCAAGGTCATACCTCATCGCTCATAAGAAAACTCACACTGGGGAGAAGCCCTTTGAATGTCATGAATGTGGGAAGTCTTTTGGCAGGAAGTCACAACTCATTCTACATTACAGAACACATACGGGAGAGAGACCCTATGAATGTACTGAATGTGGAAAAACCTTTTCTGAGAAGGCAACCCTTACAATTCACCAGAGAACCCACACAGGAGAGAAACCTTATGAATGCAGTGAATGTGGTAAGACATTTCGTGTCAAGATATCACTTACTCAACACCTGAGAACTCACACAGGGGAGAAGCCCTATGAATGTGGGGACTGTGGGAAAAACTTCCGTGCAAAAAAATCCCTAAACCAACATCAAAGAATTCACACAGGTGAGAAACCCTATGAGTGTGGAGAATGTGGGAAGTTCTTCCGAATGAAAATGACTCTCAGTAATCATCAGAGAACCCACACGGGTGAAAAGCCCTATCAGTGTAATGAATGTGGGAAATCTTTCAGGGTACATTCATCTCTGGGGATCCATCAGAGAATCCATACTGGAGAGAAACCCTATGAATGTAATGAATGTGGAAATGCTTTCTATGTGAAGGCCCGCCTCATTGAACATCAGCGTATGCATTCAGGAGAGAAACCCTATGAATGCAGTGAGTGTGGGAAGATATTTAGCATGAAGAAATCCCTTCGGCAACACAAAAGAACTCACACTGGGGAGAAGCCTTATGAATGTAGTGAATGTGGAAATGCCTTTTATGTGAAAGTGCGCCTCACTGAGCATCAGAGAATTCATACAGGAGAGAGGCCCTTTGAATGTCAGGAATGTGGGAAGGGCTTCTGTCGGAAATCACACCTCACAGAACACCGGAGAACTCACATGGGCCGAGCCTTACTTTGTGTATTGGAGAAAGCTTCCCCCTGAAGATTCCCCCACTGCCCTCACTGGTTCAAACCCCTCAGGGCATCTGATCAAGTAGACCACGCAGAGTGCACTTGCCATAGTGTGGCTTTCAGACTGGTGTAAAAATGAGTCTTGATTCCTTTAGGGAATAGCTCATTGTTGCTTGCTTTTTCTTTTGGAGACAATGTCTCACTTTGTAGCTTAGGCTAGCCTTGAACTCAGTCTCCTGAGCGTTGGGACAAGTGAGCAACCAGCATGCCTGGCTGTTTTTGCTTTTATTTCCCCAATTGGAGGTGAGGTTGAAGGTCTTGTCTGATAATTGACCATTTGAATTTTTCTTCAGTGCACTGACTGCTCATATACTTTGCTTTTTTTTCTAATGGGATGCTCATTTTTTTAGCTTTTGATTTAAATGATTTTGTCATTTAATATATAATAATATAAAATCCTCAATTCATGTGTGTTGCAGTGTCTTCTCCCAGACTATGACTGGTCCTTTAATTTTGTTAATTCTTCTCTTGTGCTGAAGTGTTATGCTTGTTATTGTCTATTTCAAGGTAATATTTGCTTATACTTTCCTCAAAAGTTAAGATTTTTTTGTCAACATTTTGAATTTTGATCTTTGAGTTTTTTATATAATATGGAGACTTCAATGTATAATACTATATTGTCCTGTTAAATTTTTGCAGAAATGGTATCACACTGTAGGTAAAACTTAGCAATTGGCTTGTTTTCATGTGATGTTACCTTCCTCAGATCTGTCCTTGTTGGTAAATGTAGGCCTGGTTTATTCATTCCTTTCTCTATTCCATTAGTGAAAGACTTTGCATTGTTCTGTGTTTCATTTGTAGAGGCAGAGCCACCAGTTCAGACGGTGTAGCCATGTACCAGTGATTAAGCTATTCTATTCTAGTTACAAGCCCACTCTTCTAGACTGTACTTTGTGACTCTGAATCACATTCTGCTTTGTTAGTTGCTTCCTACTGGGACTTGACTAATAAGATACTAGATATGAACTTTGGGCTAGAGATGAAGGGACTTGATCTTTCCCCCTTCCTGTGAGATCCCTCTTCATCTTAATGTTTTTCTGGCATCACTTCTATACTTGGACAGCAGAGTTCCTTGTCCTGTTGGCAGTTTCATGTGTATTCCCTGCTCTCACAGAGCCAGCGTTGTGGTACCCTGTCTTCTCAAGAGAAGCATCAGTTGACTGGTGTCACCTCCTTAAATCTATGAGTCCTAGCCATATGGGACTCCTCCTTCACCCTTCTAATCTTTATTATTATTATTATTATTATTATTATTATTATTATTATTGGTCTTTTTGAGACAGGGTCTCCCTGTAGCCCTAGCTGTCCTGGAACTCACTATGTAGACCAGGCTGGCCTTGAACTCACAGAGGCCTGCCTTTGCCTCCTGAGTGCTGGGATTAAAGATGTGCGCCACCATGCCCAGCCTAATCTTTATATTAAAGATAGGATCATATCATATGGCCTAGAGCTCATGATCAGGATTACAAGTATGCTTTTCATTAAAAAAAATAAAAAAAATTTTATTGTTTTTATTTTATGTCTATGAGTATATTGCCTGCATGTATGTAAGTGCACCCGTATCATGCAATGCCCTTGAAGGTCAGAAGAGCGTGTCAGATCCCCTAGAACTGGAGTCGTGGGTGGTTGTAGCTGCCATTTGAGTGCTGGGAACCAAACCTGAGTCATCTGTAAGAGCAGCCAATGCTTTTAATTGCTGACCTATCTCTCCAGAGAGACAGGGTCTTCCCTGTAACCCCAGCTGTCCTGGAACTCACTATGTAGCTCAGGCTGGCCTTGAACTCACAGAGATCTACCTGCCTCTGCCTCAGGAGTGCTGGGACTAAAGGCGTGTGCCACCACACCTGGCCTGCTTCTTTTCATTTTTCATATTTCTTATTTTATCCCTTGTTACTAATAGGGCAGGAAGAAAGGGAATGAAAGGGTCCTCTGCAGCCATTTATTTTTCCAGGCACCATTTCACATGTAAGAACATGTTAGCTTCCTCTGAGGCAAATGGCATGGTCAATGGTCAATAATAGCCTGGTAGATAAGAATTTTTAACAAATTTGAGTCAGGGTCTCACTATGCAATCCTGGCTGGCCTGAAACCCACTATGTAGACCAGGCTGACCTTGAACTAACTCACAGAGATCTGCTTCCCTCAGAAAACATAAATTTAAGTGACACTTCAAATACTATAACAGAAAATCTCTAAGGTGTTTTATAACTCATTTGCAGTCACTGGCCTTCCATGGCTAGTTGGAAAATAAAACAGCACTGGCCTTTCAGTGAATGACAAAGATCCATAAGTTGCTTGGAACAAATTGAAGGGTTAAAGGTGAATCAATGACAAAGGCTTTAAACTGACCCAAACCAAAAGGTAAGCTGATAGTGATAGATGTTGTTTATTCTTTCTTGGCCCAAAGCTAACAAAACTAGAAGGTAAATTGACAGTAGTAAGTAAATGCAGGTAACTATTATTCCTTCTTATCTTAGTTAGACACATCCTGAATTCCAGGTCACACTCAGAGCAACTCTGAACTGATTACAAGGTTAGCCCAAGTGACATTAAGGTTAAACATTTTCTCCTTAGTTGGTCCTGAAGGGTAGAGCTCTGCCTTCATGCCCAAGGCCCATGTCATCTTGAAAGCATGACAACTTTATGTCTCTTCAGTGAAAATTACAAGGATCAAAGTGTTACTGGGCACTTGGGTGCATAAACATACTTCCTTGGTGGGGTTTATTATTTTAAAAGATATTAGAAATCAGAAACTGGTAAAGGAAAATAGATTTATTTAATGTTTGACCAAACCATGGCAAGAAGACCCCTAGTTTTTCTCTACCCTTCCTGTAGCATTATTATAGATTTGTAGAAAGGATGAAACAAAAGCCAGAAAATATGCATGTGTTAACTGTGAGATAAGCTGTCAGAACTGTGTAAGATGTCTTCCTGCAAGGCAAGTTCCTCCTCTGGTGCTCATGTACCATTGCTTTTTAGTCCTGTCCTTACCCCAGCATGGGATTCTTAGGGTTCCCTTGTTTTAGGGTTTTTGTTTCAATAGTCTGATAGCAAAAGGGAAGGAAACAAGTCTCTTAGAATATCTTGTCTCCCACTAGGACTTCAGCACAGGATAACAGTTACAAGAGGCCATGGCCACCCTATTTTTTCTCTGCAATGTGCCCACCTTGTCCTCCAAGTTGGATAGTTTTTATATGTGAACCCTATTTAAAAAGTGTGCCTTTCTCTTTTCCTCTTTCATTTCTTCCTCCTGGAAGCTGCTGAGAGCTCCTGTTTTGTTTCTATCTGACTCCAATAAATTGTTCTTGTGTTCTGTCTGTTTTAAAATTCTTTCATCTATAGCCAGGTGTGGTGGCACACACCTTTAGTCCCAGCACTCAGGAGGTAGAGGCAGGCAGATCTCTGTGAGTTCAAGGCCAGCCTAGTCTACATAGCGAGTTTCAGGCCAGTTGGGGCTACCGGGAAACCCTGTCTCAAAAAGACCAAAAAAAATTCTTTCACCTATGAGACCACAAAATTTCAAAGGGGCTTCTGTACCGACCCCTCCCCAATGGCATTGCTACCCTTACTCAGTTGCTACCTCTCTGGTATCCTAAATGCCTTCTTTTGTCTGTTTATGTGGTTAACAATTTCATAGCTAGTAAATAATTTAATGTAAGTTCTCTCTGGTAAAATAACTGATATAGTTTCTGTGTCCTGTCTGGGCCTTAATTGATGCAAAAGTTTTTAGCTTTATTAAGTATTGAACTTTTCCCCTCCAAGTGTCAGGAGCAGTTGGGGAAAGTTTTTGTTTTTCACAGTCACCATCATTTATTACCAGTCCTCTGAATTTTTAACAACTTTGATCATTTATATGTATATGTACATAGAAACTTCAAAATATAATGATGTGTTATGGTGTATGTGCACAAACACTTTAAAAATTTTAATTTATTGTCATGTGTGGAGGTGCATACCATGATGTGCATGTGGGGGTTAGAGGACAACTTTATGGAGTTGGTTCTCTCCTTCCACCTTTATGTCTATTTTGGGGATTGAATTCAGGTTACCAAGCTTCATGTCTCTGGCCGATAAAACCATTTTCATTTGAGCAATATTTCTTTTATGTTTATAATCACCATTTTGATTCTCTTCATTATTTTCTACATTCCATCCAGGATCATTTTTCCTTTTTTATTTTTATTTTATGTATATGAGTGTATTGCCTACATGTGTGTAGGTGCACCTGTGTTGTGCAATGCCAGTAGAAATCAGAAGAAGGCATTGGATCCCCTGGAATTCTAATTACAAACAGTTGTTAGCCACCATGTGGGTGCTGGGAATTGAATCCAGGTCCTCTGCAGCAAGAGCAGCCAGTGCTCCTAACCACTGAGCTATCACTCCAGCCCCCATTTTCCTTTTTTTAAAAAAATTATTTTATTTTTTATTTTATGTGTATAAGTGTATTGCCTGCATGTGTGTAAGTGCCCCTATGTCCTGCAGTGACCACGGAGGTCAGAAGACAGCATTGGATCCCTAGAACTGGAGTCACAGATAGTTGTTAGCCACCATGTGGGTGCTGGGAACTGAACCCCGATCCTCTGCAAGAGCAGCCAGTGCTCTTAACCTCTGAGTCATCTCTCCAGCCCCTGTTTTCCTTTTTTCCTTGAAAAATACTTACAGACATTCCTCTAGTACGGGGACTGTTATGACTATGCTATGCCAGAAACAGACATATTTGTGTTTCTACCATGACAGAATTTATTGAATCACAATAAATTCACAAGTTGTATTTTTTAATTTGCCAAATAATCCCAATTTATCTCTCTCTCTTCCCCCTGTCCCTCCTTCCTCCTTCCTCCTCCCCCTTCTCTCCATCTTTCTGAGACAGGGTCTCCTTGTAGCCCCAGCTGAACTGAAACTTGCTGTACAGGCCAGGCTGGTCTTGATCTCACAGAGATCCATCTGCCTCTGGCTGGGATTAAAAGTGTAGGCCTCCATGCTTGGTGCCAATTTCTCTTGATAGTTGGCTCTTGGCAAACATGGGTTCTTTTATTTCAGTCTTAATTATTAATATTAGTTCTGACACAACACATCAGAGTGTATGAGAGAGAGAGAGAGAAAGAGAGAGAGAGAGAGAGAGAGAGAGAGAGAGAGAGAGAGATTACAGAATGGCTGTAATATTACAAAGAGGTTAAAGAGATTGCAATTGAGTTCATTGAGACCATACTGGAGATAGGAGCAGGGTGGAGTCACACTGTAGAGGCAAGACTTGGTCTAGATAGATGGCTAGAGGGATGGCAATTTGAGTAGGCCATGCCAGCAATGGGAACCAAGCT